CGAGCTGCGGTTGTACCTCGAGGTGCCGCAGCTTTGTACGCGGTGGGTCTACGCGGGGGCCAGCAGCGCTGCCGCTGCCTGCGACTGCAACCCTGCGCTGGGGCACCTTGCAGGCGGACTCAGATGTCGGGGCTGTCTGGCTGCACAGCATGATCAGCCAGGACATCCAAGCTAAGTGGTCGGTGGGATGTTGACTTGTCTGCTGAAGGTTAGCAGAATTGGGTTTCATCATAACACGATGGGGGATCCGGACCCTGGGGAAGCCACTGCCGTTTGGGCAGATCCCCCAAGAGATCACAACATGTCTTGGGTGAGAGAAGCTCAGCTGTAGCTCACCGATCGCCGTGCCTTCGCCGCTGGACGGGGCCGGCTCCTGCCGCGTGTCCTGCTCTAAGGCACCTCCATGTCCCGGAGACAGGTCCAGCTGCTTGACTTGAACACCGTAAATTTAATTAAGCATCTAAGCACACTCTATTAGCTTCAATCACCTCCGCTGAGATCTAAAATAGTGTAGCTAGTATAGCGCGCAGGTGGTCTGTGATAGCAGCTCAGCCGGTGAGTCGTTGCCTGCTAACCTGCTATAACTGGATCATGTCCACCGGCCGTTAGTGATATTACGTGTGCTTAGGTATATCAGACAAGTCAACCTTGCAAAATGGTCACAGATATTTACTGGTTTAGGGACAACCAGTTGCCCTACCTGTGACCCAATGATGCTGAACAACCCCTTCCCCCCAGGATATTGTACTCCTGTGTTTAATTTTTTGGGAAGGGGGGAGAAAGTTGTCCATGCAGAGTGGATTTTTGCAAGCATTATTTTCTTCTTTCTTTTAATTAAAATGTTTTAATTGGTAAACAGAATAAAAATGTGCCTTTTTGGCTATTGGAGTTCATAAGTGAACACTGGAAATTGCTGTTAGTGGGCCGTCAGGCGCTAGCTGCTCACGCGGTACATACATACAAGGCCGCACTTCAGCATGGCCCTTCCCGTGGACAACCGTATGGACACTTTGGGTGCCAGGAGGCTTTTAGCGACACTCTGGAGAAAGAAGAACGACCCTTCTGACTCGATGGGCCTATGGTTCCCCCTGTGCCCTGCAGGGCCTTTCAGCATTAAGAAAAAACTTGCAGATGAAGATCATTTCTGAAGCTTTTGAGCAGAGCAGAGCAGAGCAGGTTCCCCCCGCCCCGAGAGCTCGGCGCATCAGCTGAGGTGGGCTGCGTGGCTATTTGCCCGTTTGCCACTGCTATTTGCAAATCGGGACGAGGGAGTTGGTAAACGGGCGCTGCTGGTTTTGGAGCAGACGGCCCCGGGGTGGCAG